ATAATTTGATGCCTTGAAATTGGCCTCTGTTTCTTTAAGAAAATTCAGCTCTTTCTCTGTTTTATCACATCGGTTCTCTATTAACCCTTTAATAACATTTTTACCAGCGTTTCACTGAAAAGCAGCTTGAATAATGAATTCAGCAGATGCGCAGTTCCATCAGGTGTTTCCTAATTGCTGCTGCTGATAGTCTGAAGGAGCTCAGTGGGGAAGTCGCAGGGACTTCCCCACTGAGCGAGTCTGTGGAACAAAGACTTGTTTTGGAGACTTCAGCTCCGCGGAGGAGCCTCAAAGGCAGCGCTCAGTCCCCCAAACATTTTGCACAGCTGCATGGTTGCCAAGGGAAATTTAATGATTTCTCAAACATGTACTAAAGAATCAAAGCAACACTCCAGGTATGTTTTTGATGAGAGAATAACATTATGATATAAGGCTCAAAAAAGTCGATTTTACATAATACTGCCTCTTTAAGGTTTTGCAGTGCGTCCTGCAACTTTCTTTTGATGTACTTACAAAAATACAGGATACCTGATATATTCTGAAGAAGAAAGAGTAACTCCAAGAGACAAAATTATTAACCAGCATGAAAAAGCAAATTCATGTATGTTAAGTATCTACATTCATAAATAAACAGCAACACATGTTCAAATCTGTATATCTTGAGTATTAATGAATCTGGAAACAACACACATTTACAGAATGTACGTATACCTGCGGATGAAGCCCCCACTGATGGCCATCTGTTCGCGTTCATCTACAACTCGAGCCCCTGGCTGGCTGTTCACCACTCCGTCCTGGTTTGCTCCCCAGGCCTGGCCCCCGCCCTTAATCCTACCACAGACACATTTCAGTCAGGGCCACTGGAGGCATCAAAAAGCTATAAATGTTGACAAACTTTGTGTGGTAAGCGTCTGTATGTTAACTGGTTAGTAAAAGTGATTGTGCACATCTTTGTAGGTCTACATGTGTTGTTCGTTCACTGAAGTGTGAAATGTTAATGTGCATGCATGTTTTCCTCTATCAAAACATATATGTGCATATATGTTTAGAATGTAAAATGGCATGAAGCTAATCATTCTAACAGAAGCAGCATGACAAGCACATGATACACAGCCGTTACATGCATTTGCAGTATGTTGGTGAATAATTGATCCAACATGCAGATCAATTGAACGTAAAAAGCTGAAGTGCTGCTTACATTCAGAAAGAATTTCAAACACAAAAAAACAATTAGCACAGAGAAGATGACAACACACACACACACACACACACATGAAGACCTGTAGAGTGGACATGCAGAGACTTGGTACACAGTGGGAAGAGGATCAGACACATGCTGTAGCTATCAAAGAAAGCTGAGCTGTTAGGTCCATGTGGCAAAAATCCCCACAAAAAGAAAGAAAAATTACATAACATTATCATTCTGATTGGAAGACCAGCAGTGATTAGCCCTTCATTTCATTTGGATGGATGGAGCTATATGATGATGTATCACATGCAGTCAAATAAGCAAGTTCAGTTCTTCTTGCTCGTTTCATTAATTAAACACCTGTTAGATGCAGGTCTTTGCTGACAGGAACACTTTCATCAGTTTGTCGACATTGGTAAGTATATTTATCTCGATTTATATGTGATGACACAAATTTTCATATACTCATTAAGTAGAGTAAAAGTATTGCACATTGAAGTAGAATTAATAATGCAAATGAGCGAAATCTGGAATAATTTTGATCATTTCCAAATTATTCCAGATCACCAGACAACGCCAAAGTGCACAGATTGTGTGAAATATGGATCAACAAGTATTAGTGGTACACATACACCACTGTGGTTTTAAGCAAATTTGTGGTTTAATCTCCTCTTGGAGGGTGTCAGTAAGTGGCTGCCGAATAATCAGTAGTCAGGAGCCTTCTCCATTATTGTGAAGGCCATAACAACTACATTTGCTTTTTGGTTTTTTTTGTTGTTTTTTTTATCAACTGTAACCTATAATTACCAACATGTTGCCTTGTTTGTAATAAATCATTATAAAATTTCACCTTTTGAATTCAATTACTGGAAAAGAAAAATCTTTTCACTGGTATTCTGAATTATCAAGCAGTCTTTGTTAGTGTTGGTATATCACACCTATCAGGTGATGCAGTTAGACTGTTAACAAGAAACGTCTCATGCTGTTTAACCCAATGCTTTCAATTCAGATGTTTTAAATGAAACATGAGAGTCTATAACCACAGGGTTACATAGCAAGTGGGCAATGGAAGAAAGGGACCAAAGAGCTATAGAATATACAAGATCTTAAACCAAAACAGTAACATATGAAAGCTGAATCAAAATACATGAATCCTGAAAACAAATCAAAAATTATGTGCCAGCTGGTGACAAAAACTACAACTCCTTTATTCTGATCCCTATTGTGCTAATTGGGAAGATCGGTTATTGACTGCCAGGATCCAGTCCAGTACCAGTTTTGGAGAAAAGGATGATCTGTTGTCAAAATATCAACTGTGGGATTAAATACCAAAAATTTAAATTAAAAACATTTTGTTTATACACGTCAGAAAACAACAAGAAAAGAAACACATTGAACCATTAGTCCGGTGCACTGGAGAATGTGTTTTTTTGTACTGTCAAAGCACCAAACAATACATTTAATTTCTAAGTTTGCATTTCAATTACGTCCAAGATCTCACGGTAGTACCACATAGCTCAAAAGGAAATAACTTGCTGAAAACTATCCATAGCAAGTAGTGACTAATTATATGTAACGTTTCTGAAATAGTAGGTATAAGACATTACAAGAAGAAACTAGAGAAATCTGGTCAAATGGAGACACCCAATAAAAAAATGATTAAAGAAAACTCATCAAACATTGCCAAAAGCTGCTAGGTTTCTCTTATTTCCTTCCTTTTTTGTAAGTCACTTGTGTTTTCTATAGCTCTGAGACAGAACATTAAATAGAGTACATGCATTGGTACACAGGTGCAAAATGCACAGACATGACTCAATGGCCATAGTTTGGCTGTTGTGGGCCAGATGTAAGGGACTCATTTGAGCTTTCAAACTACAGCTTTAACTTGATTTTGAGTTCAGATAACATGTTAACTCTTGTGTATTATTAAAATGTAAGAAAGTCTTGAGGAAGGAGGCTGAGGCGTCATGGTACTCAAAGTTTGTAATCTTGAATCAATGTTAGAGTAAGTTTACTTAAATTTAACAGATCACCTTAGGTTAAAGGTTCCGTGTGTACAATGTAATGTTACCTTGTTTGTCCAAATTGGACACTTAAATAAAGTGAGTCCCGATTCATTCATCATTGAATAATTTTATATCGTCTTTAAACAGAGTGATTTATTTCAATTGACTTATTAGGATTTTGTCATCATGACTCTGGCCCTTCAACATGGTCAATAAAACAGTTTTTGATCATTTTCACGGTGCATACACTGCCAAAGTCCTGCAGGAGAACAGCATCTCCATAAATCTGATCAAAAGTGAGAGCATGAAGCAATGTAATATCTTCTGCTCAACAGTTATACTGATTTTAGACTTGAGAAAATACAGTGCTTCAAAAAACTTGTCTTATCCAGCAGCCATTGTACAATGCATACAGCAGTAAAACCAGGCTGTAGTTGCTAGGTAATGGCGCTCTAATTGTCAAGTCTATTGTGGCTTAACAAGTGGAAGGTTTTTGAAACTGCTCATTTTCCAGACACCAAAAAACATGAATTTACTGCCAAAAATGACTGGGCTGTTTTTAGAAGCAGCTTTTGAACCCCTAATGGAAGAACAAACACATGTAAAAATGTGAATTTTGCATCATAGGTCCCCTTTTAAAAAAAAACTATTGTGAGACTATAACACTAATCCTCATAATTACATGACTTTATGTTAAAAATTGTAATGAACAGTTCACATGAAATTTCTGGCATCACAAATTTCAATACGCTTCACACTGGAGCTTTAACCACGATCATTTAAAAACATAAATTAGATTAGCGAGCTTTTGATTTTTAAATGGACACCAGAATTATTATATTCAACGGATTTAGTTGAATTGTTGCTTGGTTAAGCAAACACATGATGACGAGGCATCATGCTACTGGGTAGGTGTAGGAGTGAAGGATGGACTTAAAAGCTCGGTTGATGCCGCGGTCGAGATCCTCGTTGATGCTGATACCTGCTGGAAGGGAATCTTTCATCCATTGTGGAATGAAGGGCTTTTGATGGCAACCGTCACGGAGACTGGAGGGCAAATACAGCACCAAAAGAACCCTTATGCACATGCAAGTAGTACATGCTGTATGCATGCAATAATCATTTGGTGATATTAGTTTTAACTCAGACATGCACACGTGCTTGTGCATGCGGTGCTTGTGCCTGTTCAAACAGTGTGTCGTTGTGGCTTCAGGCCTGATTGCTCACAACACAGATTACCATGCTCTACACACCAGAAGCAGGCAGATGGACAGAAAGGCAGGTAGGCACTGAAACACATGCATTCGGGCGACACAGGCAGCACCTACTTGTTACAGGGACATGAACATAGACCACAGAACTGTCCTAGATTGTTCAAATTCTTTTCTGCATCCATCATGTCCTTATTGATTTGGTCCATCCCCTCCTCGATGCGCTCCAGTTGTTCTGATTAGCAACACATTGTCATTTATCCCATCACAAGAACGAAAGCACGTAAGAAGAGAAGAGAGGTGGAAAAAAACGGAAAAGGGAAGTAGAAGGGGGGGGGGGGGGGGGACAAAGGGGAAAGAACAAAAAAAAAGACATAGACTGTGACAAGAGAGACATCAGACATCACCATCACCACCACCACCACCAGCACTGGACAGGCAAGAGCTCGAGGCTCCTGGCCGGTACCTACTTTTTAACACATGGGCATATCAGACCACAGCACTGTCCTATATCTTTTAAATCTTTCTCGGCCTCCTTCAGGTCTGCGTTCACCTTGTTCATGCCCTCCTCCACACGATCAAGTTGTTCTGGTGAGGACAAAGGCATGAGAGCAGTGAAATTAAGCTGACTGGTTTGTGTTTAGTTGGCGCTCTACGCTACAGGGCAAGAGGCTAAATGCAGATGGCAAAGCGGGCAGCAAGGACTGAGAGAGCCTCATATTAACGCTTGTGCAGTGGATTGAAACCAGACGAACTCCAGCGGTATCGTCTTTCACTTTCCATGCAACTTTGTCTCTTGGATTGTTTGTGATTGCATCAGCTTCTGTTTTCCATCCTACCTCCATTTTGAAGGACATTTTGATTTTCACAGAGTATTTAATCTGAGTGGCAGCAACCGAGTGCCTCATCCAGAGCTGCATCCGAACATAAAGACGGTTATTCTGCCACTTCCTCTGCTTCACTGCTGCTGCTCATCAAACATAGCTCAAGTAGAATACAAGAGAGGGAGAGATGAGGAGGAATTTATGACTGACCCAATGAAGTAAACCTTTACAGCTGAAGAGTGTGAAATAAGATCTCAAGAAGATTAAAAAAAAGAGAGTATTTAACTGAGCCAGAGCAAAATGTAACAAGTAGCTTCTTATATAAACTATCTATTCATACCACTAGAACAGTGGTTCTTAACCTGGGTTCGATCGAACCCCAGATGTTCGATGAGTCGGTCTCAGGGGTTCGGCGGAGCCTCTGTCGCAGAGGTAAAGACACACTGTGTAAAGTCGTGATGACGCCCCGTTTTGCCATCACTTGCTCCAGAGGATCACGTTACATTGCTTAGCCAATCAGTGCTGCGGGAAGGAGTTCCACTCTCAGCATGGATTTGAACTTGTGTCTTTAAATTACTTCAGTAAAGCTCAGTTTTGACCAAATTCTATAGTCTAAATCTGCTCCTTAGTCACATCTTTTCGGGGTTGGTACTGCTCCAGTGGGGTGGGGGAGGTAATACAACTAATATAATTGCATTAATAAATCAGAATACTGCAAATTATTTTCTGTGTCGGTGGGGTGGGCCGGGGGAGGGAGGTGTTCGGTGAATGCGCATATGAAACTGGGGGGTTCGAACCACTGCACTAGAACTTCCTCCACAGCTGCGACCTTAACTGTATTTTATTTGTCTTTTATGCGACAGGCCACCATAATGTAGTGCTTTATTGTGGGGTGGAAGATAAATCATAAGGTTTTCAACATTTCTCACAAATAAAAATCTGAGGAGGGTGACTGGTGCATGCATACATCCTCTTTTAATCTTTCACCCTTGTATAAAAGTACAGTGGAGTCACTTAACTAGCAAATATTGTCTACCTGTCTATAATTTAGTCTCAGCAAAGATACAGCTGATCTGATCTGAAGGTCTCGTAGGGTTGTTTGAACACGCTGGTGAAAAAAACATCTTCATGGTGATGAGGAAGAACACAACGGCTGTCAGTGATAAAGTTGTGGAGAAGCTTAAAGCAGATTTGGGTTATTAAACAGCATCCCAAGCTTTGAACATCTCAAGGAGCACTGCTTGACCTGTCACTCAAAACTATTAAAAGCATGGCACAAGTGCAAACTTGACATCTCACCACCTACACTGACAAGCCTAGCAAGGAGGGTATTAATTAGAGTCAATTAAGAGACCAGTTACTCTGGAGTAGCTGAAGACAGGCACCGCTCTTAACTAATGCACAAAAATCAGGCACAACCTTATTATAAAATTGAAACCCACACAAACAATATAGGTATAAATAGCCTCTTATAAGACTACATACAGTCATAATTTTATCACTACACTGTTGTACACTGTTAAGAATAGCTATGTCATCAGTAATATCTAATTGCAGTACAGTGAAGGTGCAAGTATGAGTTTTGCACTACACAAAGGGTCTTAATGGAACAGTGGTGATAAGAAAGAAATGGTTGGGGGGGGAAAATCAGGAAGAATCTCCCCTCTGCAGTTTGCTGCAAGTCATTTATTGGACACAGCAAACATGTAGAACAAGGTGCTCAACTACACTACATTCAAAAGGCAATGAATGAAATGAAGCTAAGGGTGCACTCTAGACTCCACCCTGAACATACTAAATCCACAGTGAAACATGGTGGTGGCTGTATCATTCTCTGGAGATGCTTTTCTGCAACAAGGACAGAGAAGATGGGCACAACTGATGGGAAGATAGAGTTAAATACTGTACAGAAAACCTGTTGGAGGCTCCAAAAGACTGATCTCCTACTGAACGATGATTGTAAAAAGGTTCACGAGTCATGAGTACTTTTTCAATAAATTGTGTGCATGTAGCAGTATCAAGAACAACAACACCACTTTCTAAAAATGAATAAATAAATAAAACCCGTCAATCGGTCAAAACAAACACTTCCTCAGCTCTTTACTCTCTACTCTCAGATATGATCTCGTTTTTTAGAGTCTATAATAATTACCATCAAGTAGAGGAGACCATTTGGTCCTCAACAAAAAAGAGGTTTGGGTGTTGATTGCGCCTCATGTAATACAGGAAATATCACTTAGTTTCATTTCCACAGAAAAAAAGAATAACTGTTCTTTGAATCTGGACCTAAGTTGCATATTTTAATTTGGTCTACTGACTTGATAAATGTAATAAATGCATTTACAGAGCAAGAAAAGCTATGTTTTCTTCATATAAGTATTGACGTACACGTTGAAGCTTATTACTGCAATATAGTGAAACAAGAAAAGGTTTTAAGGTACTGAATACTTGTGCAAGGTACAACACATCGCTAACAGTAGAATAAAGTGAAAGTAAAACTAAAGAGAATGGTGTAATAAAACTACTCCTAGAAGCAATTTTTTTTTCTCAGAAAGTTACTAAAGTATATATAACTAGTTACTACCTACCTCCAAATAACAAAGAGAACAAAAATGCATATTTTTCTCATTCTCACCATAGACAGCAAATATAAACATTTAATAAAAGCAATCTGTTGTCTTGTAATTAGCAAGACGACATTATAGATTCCATAAAAGCAGCTGTTTTTATTGGGCATCATTGCAGTTTGTGAGAACACGTAAAATTTGGAGTTACAGAACAATATCTAAGCCAGAACCATAATCCATCAGCTGTCAGTCTTGTTGAAATGTAGGCCGTCGTGCCAAGCAGGCAGGGGCTCATTAACGTCTGTGACACCTCCACCACAGGTAATAGATGACTGGAAGGAGTGACATATTTCCTCCTATGTGTGAGCTTCATGCGTGCATACAGCCTTGTGTGTAAAGGGCAAAGGGATTAGTCACACCCCTGTTTAAAGCCAAGCAAGGCTGTATTAATGATGACATGCCTGGCAAGCTTTTACAGGCTTTTTTTTTTTTTTTCATGTAACAGGAAGTAAATAATGGGTCAAATCAGACAGGGCCTCCAACAGCCTCTGTCAAAGACGGGAGATTGTGGGAATAGTCACACCATTACTGCAGACACAATCACATAAAGATAAACGTAAAACAAAAAACAAAACGAGCCAACAAAGAGGAGAAGAGCAGAGATCCAAGAAAGAAAACAAACACTGAAAACAGCATAAAGTGGAGAAAAGACGAGGAAGATAGATTGAGAGGGAGATAGGGATCAGGTATAGGGGACATTAGCTTGGGGGCGGAGGAAATTAAGTCTGAGAATTGATTGGTGTCCTGTGATAACAGCGGTTAGCTGTGCACTGTAGCAGCAGTTCCTCAGAGAGGCAGGAAAACATCAGAGAGGAGGATAACAGGCTATCTGTTGTTTTGACAGGCCAATTAGGTTGCTCTGTCAGGGACACAGCAAAAACCAAACACCCTGCAAACATACATGTCTTTCATATATATCGGTATGACTTTTAGTGAGAAATGTACTCTTTCTATTCAAGTCTTTAAACATCCATATGCTCATTTCAAAGTTAGGTCATTTTCTTAGTGTTTGTCACTTTTCTGTAATGGAAACCTCTGTCCTTTGTTGTCTAACACAAAGGTTTTAGACTAAAACAGGACTTTGCATTGTTTGGTAGTAACTTTTTGTCAAAAACAGCCACAGTTAATAGTAGCATTATTCTTCTCATAGCCAAAACAATAATGTTTCATTCCTGACAAAAAATACTTTACTTTTGAGACACATCAAGAAAGCACAAAATCTCCTTTTCTTTGAGAATTTATTCAACATTCATCCCATAGCATTACCCTCTGACTGACTGTCCATGTGTCCTTCAAGCCTAAAGTGCAGGGAGTTGTGGTTGAAACACACATAATCAGTTTTTCTGACAAACCATCCACAGCGGATCACCTTGCTCTCTTCAGCAAACGGATAGATTACTTTGTTTTCCATCCGCTGCTGAGCACACATTTTAACCTGTTCCTAATATTTTAGCACAAAGAAGTGAAACTGTTTTATTATTGAAAAGTGATCCTGATTATCAATTTAACAGGCTGGTCCATCTGTGCTCATTGCTAGTGGATGACTGCACAAATGGCACATTGCATTTAGAAATGAATATATTTTTACACATTCATTTGCGCAATGTTTGGATGTTAAAACAGCTGACATAACTGTGCTCTAATACTTCTTATCAATTGTTAATATTAAACAGACATATTTATAGAATATAATCGTCAGTCAGTTAAGATCTGTGCAATGGAAGACGAGATTTACTGGCTAATATTCCCTGAAATGGGTCAAGTTCCCAAAAACTGATCCTCCACATTACATGGTTGTAATATAGACTTGCTAAAAACCTGAGAGGTTTCCGATGTGACATATGTAAAAAAAAAAAAGAAAAAAAATTCTTAGATGTTACAAATCTGGCTTTGTGGGTTAAAAATGACTCTAAATGCATCGGCTATGATCACTGATTTTTACAGTATTTTGTCTGATTGAATGCAGGATGAGGCAAAGCAGAGAACTAGCTCCACAACAATATAGAGTATAATCTTGTTAGCCGTATTAGTGCAGACTCTGGTGAATGTTAGTGTTCCAGACATTGACTGAATAAGACATAAAATAATTTAAATGTGTCTCATATTCTAGCGTTTCAATGGTCCTACAGGCAGCAAGAGCTAATCAGGAGCAGGGAAAGCTGGATAAAAAATAGCGGTGTTCAGCAAACTCTCCTTTTGAACTTACCTCCCTGCTCGTCCAACATGACCAGAGTCCTGATGCCGGCATCTTTACTCTGACAGATGGGTAGACAAAGAAAGGAAAAGAGACGGAGGGAAAAAAGAGGAATAAAAGTGAAAGATGAGTACAGGCAAACCAAGCAGAATGGAGCTGAAATATCAGAACAGCAATATCTACTCAGATTACAATTTGAAATCACATTTAAAAAGCTGATCCTGCAAAAACACCTTGATTGAAAACACGTCCTGACATTGCACCTTTTCTAAAAATGGTGAGAACTATCTTATGTTTAGACTAAAGCTGATTAAATTTTATGTTGAAATCTATGTTCCTTTACTCATGATTTGTATTGTCACACAAATGTAAATAGCTTCTTGTGATTTTAGGGATATTTGGTTATTATTTTTTTCAATGTGAACATTTGATATTATATTGTATTTTATTGTTTGTTTTATGAAAAGTCTTTCCAATAAACAGGTCTTATAAAAAAATTGGAACTTGTTTATGTCACACTTTTAATCAAAGAAACAACAGAATGGCAAAAAGATCAAATGTGGAGTTTCTCAAGGCTTTGTTCTTGGATCCCTGGTATTATAATACCAACAAGATTCACCAAAATCAGATAATAATGATTAGAAAATTTAACAAACTTATATATTTTTGTGTCCTTCTAATTACCAGTTAATAGAGTGTGGGTTTACAAAAGACACAGACTTACTGTCATCTTAAAAACATTGCCTGAATAAAAAGTTTCCTTGAAAGCAGTTTTGTGTGAGCTTATTTTCAAAATTGTAGGTGATTGTAGTATAGTTTAACTATGTCTCCATAAATAAAATTTGAATGCAACATGCTGCTCCCAGAGTTCTGGGCAACAGTAGGAAAATAGATCACATCTCACTGGTCCTTAGATGACTGATCTAAACATCTTTTTGTGAAAAGATGAACCTGAAAAGGTCTGAATTGTTTTTCTGATTTGTTTGTTCTGATGCTTCAGCTTCAATTTTTCTGTTTCTCCTGTGATGTAATTCTTGTTTCTAATCTAACTGTCCTTATGCGTGTATCATTATTTTTCTGTAAAGCACTTTCATTTACAGGCTCAATTGTACTGAAACAATAAACTTACCCTGCCTTTGCCAAGTGGGTCCTTCAATTTTGAGCTAAGTTAAGTCCACTTCCAAGTTTTTAACATTGGTAGTCTGATAATTAAAGGATTTTTTTGTATTTCAACTTTGCTTGTTTAAAATATGCAATATTTTAACCAAAATCTTTGGTTAAAATAAAAATATAAAGCTGCTTGGACATTAAAAATAGGAAAAACATTGCACAAATGTATTCCTGCATTTTCTTGCACAGATTCCTGGGAAGAACCTTGTCATCGAAAGGTAAATGTTTTGTCTGTTTCATTCCCAGAGAGTCAAATGTACCGCTGTTGTAATAGAACATTCTGGTATGATTTAGAAAGCTGGCACGATCTGAAGTATAATAACACATGTACTCGCAACATGTGCATGTGTTGTTGTTTCTCTCAGCAGGAGCTTCATTATCCAATATCACACCTCAATGAGCGTACAATAACTATGCTAACCGCTGTGTGCATGTGACTAAACAACAGTTTTGCACTCTCCAGGGTTCTGTTTCACAACAGATATTAAAGTCCAGAGGCCATTCTGTTCATGCATGAGTTAATTTTGATCAAAATGTGCAGTGACCTTCTTAGAACAGTTATAGATGTCACACAGGCACAGACGTGTCTCATATATTTATGCCACACAAACTGACTGAAACAAATGCCTGCCTTAGATTGGAATGAGTGAAATAAATGCTGGTTGTGGTGACAGATTTTTATTTCGGGAAGACTGAAAATGTAATTTCAAAAAAAAAAAAAGAAAGAAAGAAATGGTTTGTTGAGTGCATTGTGATCAAATTAACGCTTGTGGGTGTTCAGCTCTGCCAAAATGTGCAGGTCAATAATTTTAGATGAGGGAGCTGCTTGTTTACCCAGAGGGAATCATGGGAAATCACAGACAGGTTGAGATTTCAAAACTACAGGACAGGATATCAGACTATGCCAGCTGGCATAATGTGAGGTGACTTCACTCTTCCATGTACAGCCAGCAAAACGCACACACATGCTCACACATATACGCAGTCAGGTTTTTCACACCTTACAGTGAATCACCTGGTCTTGTTAAGCAGTCTTCCCAAAATAATCATCTAAGAATATGCACATGAAAGGTGCTTTACATGACTATAGTAGAAATATATTTTTCCTTCGCTTCTCATAGCAATGCTTGGTCTTGGTCTCCATATTTAAAAAAAAAAAAAATCAAATAAACTGATCTATTTTCCTGATAAGAGGGCACAAAACCAAAGTCCCTTTGTTCACATAAAGTGGATGCATTCATCTATTATACACAGATGTCCACTCTGTGAAACAGACAATAATATTGCTTATTTTGTTCTACTAAAATTCTTTCTGGGACACATACATCTTAAATGAAAGTGGCTCCACAAAAGCTCCACAGCAGCCCTCCCTCGGCTATTTTCACATTAAAAGTTGTCTAAGGTGTTTATCAGGCTCATCACAGCCACTTCATCCAGTCAGTTTAATGGGTGTCTGTGGAAGATTAGATCAATCCAAAGATGGCAGAAACCACAACTTATATAAAGATCCTTTGGGATTTATTGTGGTTTCTGTCGTCTTTGAATTAAAATAGATTCTTGTAAAATAGATTTTTTTTTTTTTTTTTTTTTGACTATGCAATTTAGAGATTTCAAATTGACATATTGGTTTTTGGACCACACTAAGAAGCCAGACTTTGAACTCCCTGGCTCAGACTCAAACCCAAGACTTCTGACATAGCATGACTATTGGATTGGCATAAATGTCAAGAGAGACCCATTTGCTTAATACACTGATTAAAGTATATAAAACTGGAGAGTATTTTGTATATAAACCTATGTTGATCATTGTATTTTATGTTAACATGTGTACTATATTATCTAACAGCTTGGAAAACATCCTGTAAACAATCAGTGTCAACTTCTAAGACCTCACCACCATCAAAACAAGGCCTTCAAGAACCTCCGGTTTCTCCTTACCACTCAGGAAGCCATCTTGGTTCAAAGGTTACAAAATCTGCTTTCCAGCACTTGTGGCTCTCACAAACAAGTTAATCTTCTCATGACAGAGAGAGTGCTGAGCTCTGAGCAGAAAACCCAGAGATGAATGCGATCCATTAACTTTATCTAACAAGTTAAACCTTAAAGTTTGAAGGATTGGAAAAGACTTAGCAAGCTGGTTGCTGTTCCTCAGCAGGACTCCATGAAACCACAGCATAATATGTTTTAAACATATTTCATGTAGGAACAGTTTGGATTAAAACCAAACCTGGTCGGGCCTAAGCGAACAGATTTGAGACGAGAAACAGAACAAGTGTGTTTTCACTGCTCTGATCGGTTATTCAATTAACATAAGCTTCACTCTGCGCAGCGGTCACAGTGTACGAGGAAGTGCTTAAGGGTAACCCAGAGTACCATGGACGTGGGAAAGCCATCAGCTGAATCACTCTGCGACAGATGTATAAAATACTGAATGCTGTAAACTCAAAATGTTCACCGATGTTTATATCAACACTAAGAAACACAGACCAATCTCAGGACATTTTAGAGATGATTGGAACAACTAAGTGGCATTCCCCTGGCATTTACATTAAAAGTCAGATATTCATCCAGTCAATGAAAAGTCTTATCTGTGGAGATGAAAACAGTTCAGGTCAGCTGCAGACCTTACTCCATCCCCTGTTTTGTCTCATTAAAATATATCAGCTTGTCCAGAGGCTGGAGTCAGATTATCTGAAGAAGCCTCAGAAAAAAGAAGTCCAACATGTAAGACTGAATGATTATAGAAAGAAAATAGGAGGAGATATTTAATTGTAGGTTTTATCAGAAAGAACAATGATATATTTTACCAGGATGTGTTTGAAACTGTATATTGTATACTCATCTTGGGTTTCACAAAAATAGCACATCAATCTATCAAGCTGTTAATTAAAAGCTGCCCATCAAACTGAGAGACAGAGAGAGTTGCTAACAAATGAAACTTTCTTCGCAATAATAAAATCCATTAGCATTTCTTCGCTTTGGTTCTGACATAAGCAAAGCCTTAATCCTAACACAAAACTAACCCTGAAAACTAGAACTGCTTTAACCTTTGCGCTATTGTTAGCTTTGCCTTTTTTTATTACATCATCTTCTTCCTCTTAAAGCGAGATGAGCTCGATCAAGTAGTTTGTTTAATTTTTTTTTTCCCTGCAAAGAAGTGATTAATCTCTTTATCTTATATTGCAAATATTCACACATTTTTAGATGCACACAAAACATCAGGTTCAATGTGAAATTTGTGAAATTATTGTATAGTTGCAGATTACAAATAAAAATTTGAGGTTGAAAGAACGCTTCGAATATACGACCCTGCTTGCTACACTTGCAAAAGACAGAAATGAAAATGTCACAACTGATCATTATGTGGTTTAGTAAATGCTAACAAAAAAGCATGTGATTGAGTGATTGGACTCACCTCCTCGACCAGAGACAGCATACGCCGAGTGCTCTCCAGGGACTGTAAATAGAGAAAACAAATCAGCTGAGAGTGCACAAAAAGCAGATACAGTGCACGATCTGCAATGCATGTCACAGGGACATCTCAATGACTTTCTGTAGAAAACAAATTCTCTAGGAGTC